CTTTTTTTTTGTCTTATTGGAGGTACGTGCTGATACTGCTTATCGAAGAATTCCAGAGCTAGGCGACCTCAAGGCTACAGACAGCTGCCCTTTTCAGATTAGTTTGAAGGATGGAAATATTAACAATTCAAGGTTCCGAGCTGTGATGAAGCGATGTAAATTTTTTGTATTCACGGGTACGAACAGCGGCGCAAAATGCCAGCTACAGAATGCAATCACGAATAGCCAGAATGATTGTCGCCTGTGGAAATTACTGTTATATTCGACAACATATAAAAGCCGGAGTGTAAGGTTGATATTGACCGCTACTAATAATTTTGACTTAAGAAGTGTTTAATAACTGGTAAACAGCTTTTGTCTAGAATAACACGAAACTGAAGCTCATTTTTGTTGACGATTTTATACTATAACTTGAAAGGATGAGAGCAGAGCCTGCATAATTCTTGTTGCTAAAATGATCATAAAGCGAATTGATTTTTGTTGATTAACCAGTTCACGAAATAACAAACTCGTGGTCATACCCCACGGAATATAGTGTATTGTTTACCATCTTGTTTTAGGTATATATAAAAAGTAAAGATTCTGTTTTGAATTGTTTTAAAACGCAGCTCTTAGGTGCCCTTTTCTCGGTTGAGCGGCGTCGCCGTCGGCGTAACCGCGCGCGTTGCATTATGGGAAGCGGGAAAATGTTCCCGCTAAATTTAGCGGAGAATTTTTCGCTAAATTTATCTTTAAATTTAACGAAACAATTTTCGCTAAATTTACGCCATATTTAGCGGGGAAATTTTCCCTAAATTTAGCGACAATTTCTCGCTTAATCGGGGAGGCGAGGTGAAGAGAAGGAAGGGAAAGTGTACGAAAGGGGAGGAGGGAGATACCCTACCCTCCGAACCCTCCTCTCTTCTCCTAAAAAGCTGCGCTCTAATTTTGCGTTACAGGGAATTGTAGACGTCTTTAATTATTTTTTTTTTTTTTTTGTTGTTCCCACAAAACGTCGGCTGAAATTGTCGTGCTCTATCCAAAAATATTTTTTTTCTCGAAAATTGAGAATAAGCTTGGTTTGTTCCTTTGAGAAAGTTTGAAGTTTGCCTAGCCATCTGTTCTTACTGGAACGTATGTCGAATATCACGTTTTAGAGTGAGCATCTCTTGAAACTTGAATTCACAATGTATTTTTTTGTGTGTGTGTGTTCAACTATTTGCGGTAGCATTTGTCTGCAAACCGGTCTTTATTTAAGTCTAAGAATATTCAAAAAGTAAACATTGCAATGAAAAAAAAAGAAGATCAATACTATAAATGGGCTAAGAAAACAAAGCAAACAAAGATTACAGATTACACGGGGTTTCAAACTACGCAACATTATTAAAGCTATCGCATATTTTAATTTTATGCCTGCAGCGAGTTGACTGGAGTGTACCAGCTACCTTTAATACAGTATGACAGTGAAACATTGAGTGCAACATCGATTAAAATCACAAAAAGTAAATATCCCTTGCATGTACATACTTTTCCACAGAACAGTCCTCGAGCCAATCACTACAAACCTCCTCCTCCTCTTCTCTTCCTACCCCTCCTCCTTCACTCCTCCTCCCCTCCCCTCCTCCATTTTTCTCCCCTCCTCCTCCTCATTGCTTCCTCCTCCTCCACTCATCCCCCTCCCCTAAACTTCCCCGTAACCCTCGTGACGTCACACGTGACGTGCGACGTCATTATAGGAAACGTCCCATAATGCAACGCGCGGCTACGCCGATGGCGACGGTGACGCCGCTCAAGCCGTGAACGGGCGCCTAAAAGCTGCGCTCCAAAACACCCCCGAATTCGAGAAAAAGAAACACCGAAAACACGTGACGGTCGTGCACTAGTCACCTAGCTGTGTTTGGAGATTTGTGTTTGTTCTCTCTCCCCCTTGTTGCCCTTCTCCAGGGACGGCGCCAAGGGGATGCGAGGGGTGGCGGGCGCCTCCCCTAAAATTTCTTCTGCCACCCCAAGATGAAGCAGCTTTGTACACAAATAATTGCCTACGACGTCGGCTTGAAAACCCAGTGCAACTAGGGAGCCTTCATGCGCACATGAAGGCACTCTAAGTGCAACGAGTGTCCAGACTTTAGAGCCGTTCATGCGTTTTATTTTTTTTTCTATTAACTTCCAGCCACTGGAAGTCGTACCGCGGGTAGGGTGCCTTCATGTCTCCCTAACCGCGGGCGAGTAAGCTATCAAGCGCTTTAGAAAAAGCAGCTTCCCTTTGCGACGCCTGCTGGCTTTTCTCCGTATTCCGCTCTGTGGTGCTTATCTTCAGCGGAGACCGGAGACGTGAACGAAGGGGAGCTTAGTTAAAGTCGAGGTCATGGGGAATTCCGCACTGTCTCAGAAAGGGAAGCAAAACCTGGTTGTGAGGCTGAGCACAGGGGGCAGAGGTCCCTGCTGGGATACCCCCCCCGTCTTCCTCCTCGTGTCTCCGCATTTCCCTTTTCAATGAGCACACCACATAAGCTATCTTGCATAAGCCCGTGGGCGACAGCACCTCAAAGCTACCGCCCTCCCACTCCCCCCCCCCCCCCCCCCCCCCAATTTGGTTCGCCTCCCCACTGCCCCCCCATTATGAAGATCCTGGCGCCGTCCCTGCCCTTCTCCGGAGATTATTATCAGCATTCTTGTCCTGCTCGCTTCCACTTTGGCATTAAAGGGCCCCTCCGGAGCTTTCTGCGATCGTCTGTTTATGTTGTTATATTGCGTAGTAGGTGCAAGTTAATATGTATATAAAGTTTTAGATTACAAAACCGTTTATTAAGCAGATGGCAGAAGAAATATATCGGGACTATTTTCTCTTGGAAGACAATCCCCGATTCCCTGCCCATCGCTAAAACTTGACTAATGGAAATGCTGCATCTCACGGTGAATGCGAACGTCATTATTGCAACACTTTTTAAGCTTGTTGTAAATTATAGTTTGAGAGTTTGAGAAACGTAAACTGATTGTGGTGCGGGAAACATAGTCCGCAATTACCGCTCCAAAACCAGCGAACTATGTTTTCTCCCCGCAAGCTTGTTGCTATGCGTCGGCGCGTCGGCTCGTCTGCTTCCCGGGGCGTCTGCAGGCGTGCGTTTGCGGGACACATGTTCCTTCTTCCCATGGATCCCGACTCCGAAGCCAGCTTTGCGATCCGTCCACGTCAACGAGTCAAACTTTTCCTTGTCATCTGTGGGATGCGACTGCGTATTGCAGTAGCGGCGCGACGGTGCGGTGCGACGAACGACGACTGCCGAGCACAAAGTCCGGGTCCCTCGACGACGGTCCGCGCGTGTTCGAGAGACTCCTCCGCGGGTCAGCGGTCGGCCGCGCTGGTGACGCGTAGTGACGCCGGAATCCTTCGCTTGCTATTGGCTGTCGCGTAAAGAGATGCCCCTCCCGTTTTCCGGGGTCATCTAAGAAAAGGGGGCGTGCCGGGGATTTTGATAGCAATTTTAGTAGGGAAATCCACCGCGTATGACCGTAATTTTATGATTTTTAGGATCCTTAGGGCCTGTAGATTGAGTTATCGCCATAAATAGACCATCGCAGAACGCTCCGGAGGGCCCCTTTAATTGCATTATAACAACGAAACCCTATAGTTATATCATCAACCTATACAGAACAACTTCGACTCGCAATAGCTTTATGTCTGTGCGCATGTTATAATGCCTGCGTGATATTAGAGAGCCTCGAACTATACTTCGTTTCAGCTTCCGTCCGAGCGCAGCCAAAGGCTGAGGGACGGTTCGCAACTTCGAGAAGAGCATTCCTACGCACCGCAAAGTAGTCCGCAAAAGATATTTTTTAGATAACTGTCTTATGCGTAAACATTGCACAATTTTCCAGATGTGTGTTGCTGAGAATGATTTGCAACTAAAGGAATTAATCATCTGAAGTTTATGTATTTATTAATATATGTAAATGCATGAGGTTTGGTGAAAACACGTACATTTGCTGGCAACACGGCTGCAGCGCTCGGTTTTTCTGTGTGATTTCTTTCCCATAATGACCGAATCATGTGCATCGCTGCTTTCCTCACCGAGTCGCTTCAAGACGTCTTTTCGCAAAGGCACGTTTGTGTGTCAGGCGCGAGCGGTCGTGATAAATGTCTACTTTTAAATTCGGTAGGAGACTCCGGCCGCGTCGTACCGCGAGTGCGTTGTAAACAAGAAAAGCTTCCGGGCCACTACAATTCCCTGATACTCGGCGAAATCAGGGCACCCCTTTACCTGCGGATCACATTGAACGCCGATAAGCTTGTGGAAAGGACTGCTCCTCGAGCCCTGGTATATCCAGACAATACAAGAAAACATCAACGGCTGGGTCATCGGGCACCTTGCAATGTGTACTTACATCTCGAAACTATGCCGAACAGGTGGAAAGCTCGGACACAGACGCCAGCGGCCAGCTTACGTACTGACATCCCCTGTGACTAAATTTCAGAACGTGAAAGGGCACTTTTTAAACCTGTGGCAGACGATACCGTTGATACACCCGTAGCAGACGAAATACCCGGCGAGCGCGGGCGGCGCGGACGACCGGCGGCGCAGCGGAGTGATACAAAAGTGGAGGCGACATCGCGTGACCTATTGCCGGCGTGTGATTGGCTCCGGCCACACGTAGCTTTGGCTGCGCTCGGACGGAAGCTGAAACGAAGTATAGTTTTCCACAACCCAACAAATATACGTTTAGAACTATAACGTGTTTTCGTCCTTCCGATTCTGCAGCACCCGTCGTGCCAAGGTCTGCTAACCGCGTCCATTAGCTATTAACCGCGCCCAATAGAAGGTCCCGAGCGAATGACGAAGCTCAAAATACGTTTAGATTTCAAAATGTTATTAGCAGATAGGCAATGACGTCATGCTCATTGTTCCTTCCAACATTGATTTTTTTGTTTGTCATATCATATTGTGAGATACGTTGTTCGCTTTGACTTTTCTACTGTTCGCCGTGATTGGATGTCTCCACGTACCGCAGAAACAACAACTTACCGAACTTGTGATGATGATGCAATCATGTGTATAGGTTCTTTCATTATTGATACCAACTTGCGAAAGCCCAGGGTGTGCAGCAAGACACCGTTTTGTACTGTAGAAAACTCCGAAAATAATTTATTGTGCTCATCGTGATTGGCCCAGAATCCTTCTCCTCCTGTCCCTCACGCGGTGTCTGGAGTGGTGCATTCAGGTCGTCGTTGTTCTTGAAGTCGTTACTCAACCGTAGAAACCGCCGCGGCCGTAGCCTCCGTATCCACGGCCATAGCCTCCGTAGCCACCGCCGAATCCGCGGCCGTAGCCTCCGCCGAATCCACGGCCATAACCTCCGTAGCCGCGGCCGTAGCCTCCGTAGCCGAACTGGGCGGCGGCGAGACTGCACAGGGCTGCCAAGACCACGAGGGCCACGAGGAGGGACTTGCAGGACATCATGTTGATTCTGCAGTAAAGACAAAAAGTGTTAAACAAAATACATTGATAATTAACTTTGTTGGCTGTATAGGTCCTCTTTACTGAAAGTAGTCTTTAGCCCCTAGACTTCCAAAGGGATATACTCCTCTACCTGCATCGCTTAAATCAATTGTTGGTTGCGTTTTTTTATATATATATTGCAAATTACATATTCCCTGTTGCTTAGTTTTGTACTTGCGGTTATTTTGTTTGTCTCCTCATCACTCCTCTTTAGTAATTCCTTTGAGCCGGAGGGTAAAATAAATATTCTGCAATTTGAAAAGTCCAATTGTCCAATGACGTGGACGGAACACGTTTTTCCTTCTAACATATTTGCTTTCATTATGACACTGCACATGACATGAGCATTTTCTTCATGCTCATTTTTATATCCCAGACGTCATATTTCGTTGAATGGTTTCTTCTTGCCTTAGCATTCACGCGTACCTTCTTACTTAAGTTGCACTGATTTTCTTTCTGAGACCTTTGTGAGATCGATGGACGGATGGTCTGTATAGTTATTAACATCTTAAGAGGCGCAATGTGTGACTTTTTACGTTCATGGTCCTTGTTTCGCGATTAGTTCTCCCACGCGGTTATCGACTAATGCAACAATCTTATGGACTTCAAGGCGATAACTGGATCCCCATAATCTCGCCACGTCTTGTACTATGAGTGTGGTTGTGCACCAGCGGTGTGATACACGAATGACGAATATGGTACTCACAACTTTGAAAGCATTCGATGCCATTAGGAATTGCAGATAAAATCTTAACTGGTGGCTTCTCACTATGGGCATGCCTGATCTACCGTTTACCCCCCAGGTGCCCCCGTTTGGTTCTGGACTACATAAAGGGGGAGGGCGGGATGCAACGACTTTAATATTAAAAGAATTTGCCTGGCGTCATTTTTGCGTTGTATATCGTGTCCCGAAGGATAGAGAAAACATCTCTCTCATTCAAAAATGTCGCAATTCCGCTGCATAATCGCAAAGCAAAGGTCGAGCTTGTCCTCCCCCCCCCCCCCCCCCCCCCCCTGCAGCAGCGAGTGGCAGCCGAAGGAACTATGGTGGAAAACTTACGTGACCTCGCTCGGCTCTAAGCTGCAGCATGACGCCCGCTAATGTCAGCAAGCAGAGAGGGCGAGAGGAAGCGTCCCCCAAGAGGGCACACGGGAAGCTACACGGCACCCCGAATTACGTCACCAGGAGGAGGACCACGTGTGACTTTGAAGACTGGGAGTTTGTTCAGGGGTGCCAGAATTGCCAATATTTATCTTTTATATATATATTTTTTTTTTACAGAACATTTAGGACAGACAGGCGAAATCGGTTTTCTGGTTTCTAGAATTGTCAGACGGCAACTTCCACAAAAGTTTAACCGAAGTCCGGAAATCGTTGCCCCCCCCCCCCCCCCCCTTTTTTTTTAAGCCCCAGGAATTCCTCATTGGTGCCTCCCGTTGTCTAGGTCTCTCTGGTCACACCTGTGGGGGCTGAGACATCGCATGTCTCTGACCAAAGTGCAAAGCGCCCAAAAGGCTCACTTTTTTTATCTCTCGATAAAGGTGTTTGTAAGAAAATCCACCTTTTAAGAGCTGTTCTTCAGAATTGTAAAAGATCTCAAAGGCCGTCTTGTCTTGTCATGAACTTCTGTTTTGGGGCAAACAATAATAAGTAGTTCCTACAACTTCGATATCGCAGTGTTCGAACAAAAAAGCGGTGCATAATCAAGAACAAATTGATAAAGCTATTTAAACTATAAACCGTCAACCCTGAACTACTACATCTTCTAAAAGTTCAGCAACTGCCTTCAGGTTACTTTCCTCGCGCCCTAAAGCGAGGTGGCACGGCATCATTCACTCACCGATTGTTCTGTAGGCTCGCTGCAGGACTGTGATCGGCAATGGACACTGGCGCGCTTTATATAGGGAAGTCTTGCAACATACTTCATAGAAGCGCTCATTATCCGGGAAAGCCCGCCACAGAGGAGGCTGGTCTCGGCGTCTTCAGTGACGTCGGAGTCCTTTGGTTACTTTGGACTTCCTTTGGTTCATCGACGAAAGTGGTCGTTGTTTAGCCGCCCGAGGCGCCCATTTCGACCTCTGCCGCCTTGCACCGCGTGTCGGAATGACCTTGTAGTATCGCTTGCGACAGAGCAAGCCCGTCGTGAAGTTGTTTTTAGATTATCGAGACTGACGATGGGGAAAGGGTAACGAAAACTCGTGGCGGGGATGACGTTCGCTTGAGGGCACGTGCCTAGCAAGTGTTTCTAAGGATGCCCGCGTTAAATGTTTCAATTCGAAAATACGGCCACTGCAGAGGCAGGTGTAGTTCATGGAAAATTTGTTACGGTTCCCCGTAATATGTTTTGTACGGAAGATGTCGCAGAAACTTCCGTACAGAAAAGTTTCTGTCGTCACGAATGCTCTTCAGGCCATATTCTCGACTTCAAGATATATATATATTTTTTTATTCACCAAACGTTATAAATTTGTACACGAATTTTCATTAACTGTACGAGAATATGTGGACACAGAAATTAGGTTTCCTCATATGCGTGTAGAGTTAAAGTCTTCGTAGTTTCCAGGCAGTCAAAAGCTGACTGTCCGGACACCTCTTTGCAGAACGCACGTGCACTCATGCCTATCTTGCGAGTTTTTTTTCGGATGTACTAGATGGTAATAAATATAGAAGAGTTCTTGAGGCGGGGCCTCATGTTTAGAAATAACTTTATTTTCTAGTTTTTTTTATTTTTATTTTTATTTTTTTAATATTACTAGTTCAAGGTTCTGACATCTGCAGTGCAGTGCCCCGGGAAATTTCGGTATCTACCGGTACGATCATTACCGAGAAATGGCGACAATCCATTGTTATCGTGATTATTAAAAATTATGGTAAATTGCGAAAATTTTAGGTTATATATTAAAGAAGTAATTGCAAAGTTGACATTAATTTATCATTGAGTTAAAAATGTTTTAAAATTTTGAGCTAAACAAAATTGACTTCGACATAATTTGTTTCTTTCTGGATAGATAACGCTCAAATAACTTACTCATATGCATACATTTTGTTTTCGTTTACAGTTCTTCTTTCTAGCAGAAAACAAGGAGCTATAATCAGCCTTCAATTTTTTTTTTTTTTACTTTTCTAACGGTAGCCAGTTTTTGATTGCATGCCTCCACGGTAAACTTCGTTTATATAAACTGGGAATAAGTACCAGACTTCTGAAATTTTATGGCCAAAAGTATTATCGGCGCTGAATTATTCCTGATAGCATCTGTCTGAAAAACTGAAATTATTTGAAATAAGCAGTTTTAACAAAATTAAACAATTGAAATAATAACGTATTGAGGAGAAATACCCAAAACCAAGAAACGCGCACCCAAAATAAGTCTTCAAACTAAGTCGTAATATTATAAACACTATAACTTAGTTTTATTTTATATCTGAAGCAAGTTGGTAAGAGTGACCTGAGTGATGTTGCCATCGTGTGACAAGGAGTTATGAACTGCACTCGTAATATCAGGATATCGAACGAAACCGCAGCCACAAATGAGAAACTGCAGTGTTGTCCTCAAACAGTTTAATCGAAGTAAAAAACAGGCCAAGTCACTAATGTTCGTAAAGGTTTGGTGGTGCGTTCCTTTTCTCTGCCTTTCAGATGCAATCCTCACAGTTTTCTTTTGTTTTTGTTTCTTAAATTGTGTGTGCAACGTTTTTTCTAATTTCTGAAATATGAGTGAAAACTAATTTCAAAGGAGAACTAATGAAACAGCGAGGTGAATTGCCAATTTATTTTGGGACACAAAAATAACGGTAACTCAAGGCAATCGACAACTCGCACAAGGTAAAAAATAATGATAATTTTAGAATGACATAGTATATGAATAATTTTCTTGACGCAATAAAACATATTATAATTATATGATTAAAAACCAAATAATGCATCGCAAGTGAAGCATTCATCAATACTGGCACAAATATTTATACGCTCAAATATCAAAACGAATTAGGTTTGCATGAATATAATGAAACAATATTTTGAAAAGAAAACTATTTGCATCTCCAAACGTCGTAACTCCTATGAAGTGAGACGGAATCCGAATATCGTCTGCTATGAAGGGCCCATTACTCATTCGAATTTTAGAAACTTGTATGGACATTTACGGCCTCCAAATCCTGCCATAATTTATCAATTGGCATTTCTGATTGTCAATATTACCAACTCGTGGAGGACAACACCTTTTTCTGCGATTTCTGGCAAGGCGTCGGAGAACTTGCAACAATGATTTTAAGCAGCAGTATAGTTGAAATGTCGTTGCTTTAAAGTATATACCGTATTTTCCGGACTATAGTCACAAAAAAGCTTGTATCATACATAAATCAACATTACTATACTCCATTATTCATAAAATCCTTCACGACTTGTCACAGTGAACGATCAGGAAAAAAACAAATCCTCCGCACCCGTAGATAGTCCGCATCGGGTAAAATTTCAACTTTTAAGTATCTACACAGTGCGCGGACTAGAATCCGGAAAATACGGTATCTTATTTCGTTGCCCTAGTTAGCACGACTAATAGAAAAATCACCCCCGCATTGCTGAGTGCTGAAATTCAAGTTGATACATCTAGCCAAACGTATCTGGCTACGAAACAGGTGATCGTAATAATTAACGGCGCTTTTTTTCTGAAAATTCTATAATAGGTCCACGGAGGGCTCAGCTCTCGGTACTTCATTGAAAATTCGGTTTCAATAAATTTGCTGGCGGCCGTCCTGTACCCGGGCTAATGGTAGCAAACGTCCAAATACAATCTCCCAAGTTTGGCTGACAATAAACGAAAACCAAAAAAAAAAAAAAAAAAAAAGAACTTCGGTTGAACAGCGGATTTCGAAAAACGCACTCTATTTTTGCTGCTTAAAGAAAAAAAACTCGGTTGAACAAATCAAGTTTGGAAAACACCCTCGGATTCTGATCAAGAAG